AACCCGCTCCTCACTGGCGTCCTTGCCCACCCGTCAGGCCAAGTGCTGGTTTTCTTTACCTCCGCATAAACAGCGGAGGGGACTCAACAGCGGGGAAGGCAAATAAGTGAGAAACACGCGAGGCGGGTAGGGACGCGTGCTCTCTTTGCCCTCACCCAAGATGGCGGCCAGAGCTTGTGCGCGGTCCCTCGGGCCGCGCGTGCTCAGCCGACCGACTCTGGCACCGCGCTGGGGGGCGGACCTACCGTGGGAGGGTGACGTGCTTTCTGCGGCCCTAAGTCATCCGCGCCGACACCTCCTCTCTCACCACTGCCAGGTCCCTCACACTGTGGAGGAAGGATGGAGCCGGTGACCGTGGCCACCGACGGCGGGGACAGACCTGGGGCCTCGGCGGGCTCAGGCATGTCTGCTTCCCAGCGTCGGGCGGAGCTTCGGCGGAGAAAGCTGCTCATGAACTCGGAGCAGCGCATCAACCGCATCATGGGCTTTCACAGGCCCGGGAGCGGCGCAGGTGAGAGCCTCGGTTTTCCCTGAGTTTTCCGCCCACCCCTTACGGTCTTTAGGATCATTCTGCCCTCCCTCCTCCACTGCACTGACGTTGTGGACCAAACCCTGCTCGCTGACCTCCATTCTGCTCCTGCCCGTATAAGTGATGCCCCCCGTTCTCACTTCTTAGCTCCAGGACGGTCCTAGTCACTCCGCGCAGTTTTCCCGGAGCTTTGCTGAGACTGTCCCCACCCGGTGCAAAGCCTTGGCCCCTGAGTCCCTCCGCCCCGTTACTCTCTCGCCTTTCTTGAAGGGCATACATTTCATCCCCAGACTGACCTGTCCACCGCGCCCCTCAGGGCAATTGTTTTCGTTTCCATCTGTTCCACTTGCTTTTCCTTCCATTGCCTTCCCGGCCTCTACTTTCTATTGCCTTTTGCTGTATAACTATTGTCTTTATGAACTGCCTGCTCGTCCATCCTACGTGGATCAGGGACTCATATCTTGGTGTCGGTGTTCAGTGCTCTTAACACTGTGACCAACAGACCTTCTAGAAGAGATGGGGGAAAAGTGATCATCTTTTATAGACCCAACAGGTGCGACATCCTCACCTGAGATTTTTCTCTCATTAGGTGAGGTTACTGCGGTTTATTTCGGGAACCACATTTCACTCTAAAGGAAAGTACATTCTCACCCAAAGACTTGTCCCATAAATGCTTTTGAAGTGAATATAATTGAACACTTAGAATGCCCTAATATTGTCTAAGTTTAAATTTTAAGTGTGTTCTTAAGTGATTGCCTTAGTCAGTTTTTGCAAGCTCCTTAGATCTTCGTGACTTCTGTGAGGCTTGGGTAGTGTCAACTTCAGACAGTTCAAATGAGATGTAGGAGCACCATTAGAAGAAACGTTTTTCCATTAATGGTTAATATCAGGATCTTCTTTCTTTCTCAGAGCATTATTTATTATATATAATATTATATATAATAAATAACATGTATGTAATATATAATATATATGTTATAATATATATAATATTTTTATATATACACACACATTTTGGTACCACAGGTGCTTCACCACTGAGCCACATCCCCAGCTTTTTTTTTTTTTTTTTACATTTTATTTAGAGCAGAGTCTGGCCAAGTTGCTGAGGCTGGCTTTGAATTTATAATCCTTCTGCCTCAGCCTCCCTGTATTATAGGTGTGCACCCGACTACTTAGTATCTTTCTGTATTTTGTTCTTTTGTTTTGAAACTTATTTCTATTTTGTTTTGTTTTGAATCAGCAGCATCCTAAAACTATGTAAGTACTTACTAATGGCTACCCTAATGGCTGCCTAACAATAGTTGTAGGCTATGCCACACCCTATGCTCACAGGGCTCTGGATTCAGAAATTTTATTTTAAAATTCAGATCTTAAAAATCTTTAATGGCTTTGCATTTTTAACCAAATAAGCTAGTGCAACCAATGCAGTCGTATTTCTGGAATATGTTATCCATGCAAAGTTGGTCTTGACAGCTTCTTCCATCCTTGAATATCTTTCCTAGTTTGTTTATTAGTCTTATCTCCTACCCACAAAGTTTGGATTATTTCCTCTGCAGGAATACTCTTGGGTGATATCATTTGATGGTATAGAAAGAGGAACTTGTTTTTATTTTATGCAAAATCAGTATTTTGATTTAGTGACTGTCAAGTTTTAGCTGCAGCAACATATTTTAAAAATATTAACACATAACGTGTGTGTAATAACAAAAGGCTTTTAATTTTTTTTCCCCCCTTAGAAGAGGAAAGTCAAGCAAAATCAAAGCAGCAGGACAGTGATAAACTGAACTCCCTCAGCATTCCTTCCGTTTCAAAGCGAATAGTGCTGGGTGACTCGGTCAGTCCAGGAACAACTGACCAGCAGGGTGGTGTTGTGGAGGTAAAGGGGACCCAGCTGGGAGACAAATTGGACTCTTTTATTAAACCACCGGAGTGCAGTAATGATGTCAACCTTGAGCTCCGACAGCGAAACAGAGGGGACCTGACCACGGACACTGTCCAGAGGGGTTCTCACCATGGCCTAGAACAGTACCTTTCCAGATTTGAAGAAGCAATGAAATTACGGAAACAGTTGATCAGTGAAAAGCCCAATCCAGATGATGGAAGTGCATCAGAAGAATTTGACTCTTTTCGAATATTTAGATTGGTGGGATGTGCTCTTCTTGCTCTTGGCGTCAGAGCTTTTGTTTGCAAATATTTGGTAAGGAAAGAGCTATAAACTGACTAAATTTGGAAAATGCAAGTTGGCTATATATGATAAGTACTTTTAATTCACAGGATTAATTGCCAATATTAAGTTAATATCTACCAGATTTATGGAGCTATTTGGAGGTGTATTATATAAACTTCATTATTCACCATAGTTATAGAATGAGAGCCTATTAATAATTATTAAAGGTATTCTTTATGCCAGCTACCATTAAGTGCTTTGCTTGTAATAATTTATTTAATTTTCATCCTTTATGAACTAGATATCATTTAAATCTGTAAAAAGGAATGAAGACACGGGTTAAATCATTTGCCCAAGGTCACACAGCATCTAAGTGACAGCTGAGATTAAATCCAGGCAGTTTCATACTAGAACCAAAGGGTTAAGTGCCAATATAAAAAGTATATTAATTATTAAGTTCCAAATAGTATAGAGTTCCTGTGTGTCAAAAGGTATTTCAACATTTTCATAATGTTGAAGTAGTATGACAGGCCTTTTTTGTACCATGATGTGGTCCTGTTATTTTACAGTAGTGGAAGGCTGCAGAAAAGTATAGCTCATAGTTCACTCGCATCTTGCTCTTAGAACTATTTCCGTTCAATAGACATTTTAAGAATATCTACCATATATCAGGCACATAAACAAATTTTCCAGGTAATTAAGATTTATATCATTAAGCAAAACAGTTTTTGAAAATCTTTTTATGCAAATGTTTCTTTAGTTACAATCAACAGATCTGATTTTTTTTCTCCCTGATAATAAATTATAGCAAAGATTGATGATGCTTTTAACATTTAGTGAGCTAGGTAGCTGCTTTTATCTCTCTTATCTAAAGGACTCTGTGCTTTCATGCTTTTAAAGCATCATCTCATTTTTGTGCCTCGTTTTTTCAGGAGCTTTTTTTTTTTTTTTTTTTTTGCTTTGGTTTTCTTCACTATGAACTTTTCAATTGTTTAGTTCTCACTGCTCTCACTATAATATGCCATCTAGTGATCTTTGCTCCTTGGTTCCCTTCATAATATTTTTAACTTTAGAAATAATTATGTAAATTAAGTGTTACTTTGATCTTTTCCATTTTGCCTAAGAAGCCAGATCATCAAGTCATTTTATCTATAGTGTGAATAGCTCCTCATTTGAGGGCTTAAGATGGTAGCCATCTGAGTTATTCTTTGCCCCAAAGTCTAAGGAATGAATGGTGTATATTTTGAGTGTTAGGCCTCTTAGGTATGCTTCAGGTTGTCAGTTAGTTCCTTCTAGGTGAAGGAAATTCATGATGTATTATTATATATCTAGCACTAGTGTATACAATTAAATAATTTTAAAAGTAATATTTATGAGAGAAGACTTCGGGGAAATTGAAAGAACTATATAACTTTCAGCCACTAAATTAGTATTTTATTGTAGTTTTTTGCTTGGAATTTTATAGCTTCTGTTTGGTTTATTGTGGTTTAAATGATTATGTTGGAAATATTTAATTTTATCTTTTATCTTCACAGTCCATATTTGCTCCATTTCTTACTTTACAACTTGCGTACATGGGACTGTACAAATATTTTCCCAAGGTAAATTAAAATCTTTTCTAAGTTTGGTGATGTATTTAGATTGATTCATGACTAGCTAATTTTAAGAACTTTAAAGAAAAAAATGATCCTGCAGGGCACAGTGGCTCACACATGTAATTCCAGCAGCGCAGGAAGCTGAGGCAGGAGGATGGAAAGTTCAGAAACACCCTCAGCAACTTAATGAGGCCCTAAGCAACTTAGGGAGACCTCATCTCAAAATAAATAAAAAAGGCTGGGGATGTGGCTCAGTGGTTAAGTGCCTCTGGGTTCAATCCCCAGTACCAAAACCAAAACTTGTCTGACCAAGTTTTATGTGGTTCTACTTGTGTTCTGGATCAGTGATGCTCAAAGTATGGTTTGCCTGCCAGTGCTGATCTTCAAACTAATTATGTCTCAAGATGTATTAAGTTCAGAATGGAGCGATCAGTCCCAGCTGCTCAAGAGGTTGAGGCAGGAAGATTGTGAGTTCAAAGCTAGCCTCTCAGCAAAAGCGAGGCACTAAGCAACTTAGTGAGACCCTGTCTCTAAATAAAATACAAAATAGGGATGGGGATGTGGCTCAGTGGTCCAGTGCCCCTGAGTTAAAAAACAAAAACAAACAAACAAAAAAACTCACATAAAACTTGGTCAGACAAGTAAAGTTATCTTGGATATCAGGCAACTTGAGCTCCATAAGACTGTGTATACATCTACAGTCCCTGGTACTCCCCAAAAATAATAAAGTGGATAATCAGGAATTTTCGTAGTACTTTTATATTATCATACACTTTCATTATATTTTACAAAAATGTTGGTCCATGTGGTTTGAGGTCCTTAGGGTAGTATTAATAGTACTTGTCTAAGAAAAGTGTTCAATTTAATTACTAATTAACTTTAGTAATTCATTTTATTTATAATAAAAGAAATTTTTAAAATTGGTTTGAGGGCTGGGATTGTGGCTCTGCGGTAGAGCGCTGGCCTAGCACAGGCAGGACCTGGGTTCAATCCTCAGCACCACATAAAAATAAAGGCATTGTGTTGTGTCCATCTACACCTAAAAAATAAATAAAGATAAAATAAAAT